GTGGCTTTTTCTGCATGTTTGCTTTAGTATCTTGTCCTTTTTCTTTTTTTTTTTATTTCATTGTTTTTTTTTTCTTGGTGGTTTGTTTATGTGGCTAGTTCTATATCTATAATTGTGTGTATGGGTGGTGATGTATATGTATAGGCAGGAAAGAGGGGGGGGAGGAAAGAAACATACCAGCATCGATATCAGCAATGACGACTTTGGCGCCTTCATTGGCGAATAACTTCGCGGTCTCGGCGCCGATGCCCTGGCCGCCGCCGGTGATGATGGCGACTTGATTGGCGAGGAGGCCTTGAGGGTAGTTGAGGTGGGAGGAGATCTGGGAGAGACGGTGGGCCATCTTGGTGTCTTTTCTTTTCTTCGTTTTCTTTTCGTTGGTGTTCGGGTAGCTGTGGGTGGAATGGGTAGATTGGTGGAGTGGAAGTGGTTCTTATACGGGGTATTGCAGGGTAACGTTGTGAGGGGTGTGTCGGGGATGATGCTTTGGATATAGAGTTAGGCTTGCCGAGGCCCGTGGTTGCAGCCGAGTGCCGACATGCCTTCTTTATATGTATGTATGTATGTATGGACATACATAGATCGAGGATGGGGAGGAATAAAAAATATCAGAGTGCATTAATTGGTATCCTGGGAAATAAATAATTACAGTGTTGTTCATGTGTTTAAATGCAAATGCAGCCCATCGGTTGCAGATAGGCTTCCACCGTTCCTTCGTATCCGCGGATGACCTGCTGCAGCCAGGTCCCCTCCAGGTCTGCGCTGGACAGCTCGATTGTTCCTTTGAGCGATGCCACCACCTCCTTACACTGTTGGAGTCGGCCTCGGATGAGTACGCGGCGCACTCGTCGCGTCTCCTCGGGCCCCAATTCATACGCACCGTACCCGACTTCGTCGTTGCTCGCGCAGACGTGCGCGGCGCATTGGTAGGATATCCAGTAATTGAACAGCTGTAGTGCCAATCCCAGTGTCGTTACGGATATCAGCACGTGTGTGTTATCCTTGTGGCAGCTGTGGCACTGCAGGAACCCTCGACAGACCGACAGCGCCTCCTTGACAACCTGCAGGCCCTGATCGAATCGCGTGTGGATTGGGTCAGCCACAATGTGTTGCAGACGGTTCGCATAGAGCTCTATAGTCTCACCACAGTCGCATACGGGCTGTAGTACGTTGGGGATATGTACGGCAAGTGGGAAGCTTGTCAATCCTTTCGTGATAAACTCTTTCTGGAGAAACGTCGGCGACATGGAAGCCGCATGCGTCGAATCGGGCAGCGGATCCCTATACGAAGTCGCGTAGTCCGCCGGCGACTCACTTAGCAGCAAACATGTATTGGCTGTACTAGTTTGACTCAGAGGACTGTCTGTGAGCTGTTGACTGGGTTCTCGCGTCTAGATTCACCACAACTTAGCTCGATGCTACAACCATAGCAGGAGGGAAGAAACGAACCTCACTATCACTTCTATTCAGCTCCTGTTCCGCACGCGGTGGCTCGGTGGCTTGAAGAGTCCTGCGTTTCGAGCTCCTCCCGGAGACTTGAACTGCCGACGTTTCCTGAAGCTGTCCTAGTTTCCTCAATGTAGCTCGGTTTTTGCTGCCCTTCGGCTTACCAGACCGATTGGCAACCCGGTATCGACATGGCAACCCATGCCGGAGACAGCGGATGCAAGTATTCTTTCCGCCTAGATTGCATTTGACCTTGGATTGTCGACAATTCTCGCAAGCGGCCCGGAGCTTGGGGCCATCTCCACCATTACCCGGGGGTTTGTCGGATCCCGCAAGCATTTAGTACCTGAGAGAGTGGGTGAGACTTCACAGTGAAGTTGTAGTCCGGCAGCCCCAATCAGTATAAAGATTTTGTACCAATGGCTGTCAATTTAAAACCTCCAGTATATTCAGCACTGGATCATTTGACCGAAATTAACAATAGTAACCACGACAATATCAGACAAATATCGCCTAAACACTGCTATATATCCCAGGAGAATGGTTGGAAACCCAGTTTCGTATCAGGATTTTTGAACCGACGGGAACCGCATATGAAGTCAGCCGTTGTGAAACCTGGCGACTTCATCTGATCCACACTGGCATGGAGATGCCAACCAGCGTGGCCACTCTGAGGGCTGGCGCTCGCAGCGGTCCAACTGACCCCAAATCTTACGGATCCGAAAAGGTAAATGCCAGATGCTTGGCCACCACCAATGGATCCTTATAGGAGACTGTCAGTGGTAGCCACTTGGCTCTGGGCTTCCAAGCACAGAGTCTGGCAACAAGCTCAGGTGCGACATTGTGGGAAAAAGCTGTGGGGCCATCGAGGCCAAATAAGTTTATCCATCAGAAACAGCCTTTGCGAGAGCGAAGCACTCCTGTCTGACGTAGCACCCAATGGTGAAAAGCATTTACTGTTGAGCAAGTGCTCAGCGTATGCAAGCCAGCACACACCATGTGAGCTGTAAATCGAGCCAAAACTGGAGGTCTATTTGCCTGTCCACATCTTAAAAAGGCCGGTGAAGTGAGCGGTGAACATGCAACTTTCACGGGAACCTTCTTGTCTGGTCCAAGAATCAACCTCTTCCTCGCCCCCTTTTTATTCTGCCCTCGACAAATTTTTATTCCTCCCAAACCCCCTCGTCCCATGTGCTGGGAAGCTAAGCTGCAGTGGTAGTCAGCAAGGGGGTGGTTAGACACATCTCGTATTTGCACGCCAGCAGTCAGCATCACATCACATCGCGTCAATTACATCGGATTGGATTATTGCTACATGGTTAACTGTAACCTGTCGCTGCTCGTGTGATCCGGCGGTTGCCTCGGCGAATCGCCCAGTCAGTGCCAGGAGCAGCTCTCGGCAATCCCACTGTGTCTGTAGTCAAATGCCCTCAGTAGCCCAGTCAGATGAGCCACAGCAGCACACACCACCAGCACATGAAAGATCTGATGCGAACTGCCCCAAAGATCGAACTGGCCCGGTCGCAGACGTTCGGGGACCCGAGCGGCGTAGATCCCAGCTCCCAGGATATACAAGAATCCCTGAAGTAGCAGCCACCCGAGCCCTATCTGGCGCGTCATCTGTTCCACCCCATACATCCGTAGCCCGTGGATGACGGGAACCACCGCTGATAGGCCCATGCCAACAAACATGGCGGCGCGGAATGGCCGCCAACGGGGAGTCCGAAACTGGGGCATAATCGAAACAAACACACAGCCAATCCCAATGCTGCAGATCATTGTCCAATATAGTCGTTGCAGTCCAGGCTCACAATAGAACCCATAGTATACACTAGGGACGAAACTGCCCACAATCAGAGCTACGATACCAGCGTAATCAAGGGTATTTCCTATGCGCGCAACAGTCGGCGAGTGGTTCGAAATAGTATGGTACGTCGCAGACATCCCCAGACATACAGCAGCTCCCGCAAAGAAGCAGGCGAAGCTAATGATGTCAGCCTGGGTAGCCGTCTCGTAACGAGGTGCTAGAACGCGATGAAGCAAGATTGCCCCGGGGACAGCCAGCAATGATGGCAGTAGATGCGTATATATATTAACCGTCTCATTGTGTATGTATGTCAGCGATTGGAAAGAGACCAGGAACGAGAACGAGGCTGGTCGATATCCGCTATGGATGTGATGGTTGTCGCGTTGCCAATGAGGCAAGTCGTTCCAGTGCAGAAGCTTCTTGAGGACCCGAGGCGGCTGCTCCATGACTGTAGCTGCCATTGCTGCAGGTGTACTGGCTTTTGGCTCTTCAGCCTTCTCAGTGGGGCGGCGTTGGCGACTCGGCATAATTCACATGCAGGATGCAGAAAAGACGGATGAATCAGAGGGTAGTGGAAAGATTACTAAGCTCGAGGTGGAACTAAAACCAGGTACATAAGAGAACAGAAGAAAAAAACGGCACGCCTAGCTATTTAAAAAGACAGAAATCCCCACAGCCGACAGGAAGGTTGTTGTGGTTGAAGCAAACGTTGGGATGGACTGACACGATGGATCCGATAGTATGAGAACGCCTGTTGGGGAAACGGGACAAACGGAGCAAACACCCGCCGGCCTTTCCCGCATTTCATGTGTTTATCAACTTTATGTCGATAGCTTCATGACGCAATTTCACTCCCCACTGCATACCAAACAGCCCAGCCATGTCACAACGCGGGAAGAGGCCTGCGAGCCGATTGAAGCCCGTGGCGGTGGATTCCTTGGAAACGGTGGGATTCGTTTCCAAAGGCGATCGCAAGTATGCCATTCTAGTGGGGTCGTCACATGTCGGGGACTGACTTTCCTAGATTGCTGGACCATAAAGCCCAGAATGACTACTTCTCCAAAATCGTCGAACGATACATGGCGTTTTGTGCCCGCCACTCGGAAGATTTAGATGCAGCGTGGTCATCTCTTCCCACAAGTGCGTCCGGCGATGCCACGAAGAACCCCCCGGCGGCTCTTCCCCAGTCGAAAGAAAAGCAGACCAAGATCCATAGTCTTTCCGCATCTACCGAACTGTCCACCCTTCTTCTTTCCCTCCGTAAGCTTCGTGAAGCGGTTCTAGCCACTGCATCCACAATACCAGTCTCATTCTCCCAGCGTGTCCATGTCTTCTCGGTCAAAATATCCATTCAAGCCAAGCATCCTCCGTCATATTTCCCCTCTCTCCGCTACCTACTCGAGAAACTACACTCGCCTTCTCACCCGTTACCCGAGTCGGAGTTGAAAGATCTCATTTCGTATCTAATCCTTGATTACGCCTGCCGACAGGATGATTTGGTCGCCGCTTTCGAGCTGCGCGCGAAAGCGCGCCGCGAACATGCGTTTCAGTCGCCCGCAATTGACCGTGTTTTAACAGCCTTAGCGCATGATAACTGGGTCGTATTCTGGCAGGTCCGAAAAGAAGTGGATTCCTCCGTTCGCGTGTTAATGAACTGGGCTGAAGATCGAGTTCGGAGACATGCACTCAAGGCTGTTGGTAGCGCCTACCTCAATGTCGGGGTGCAGTGGATCACAGAAGGCTGCACAGGAGATAACCGCTGGACGTGGGATAAACTGGTAGAGACAGAGAAACTTGGCTGGCAGAAAGAGGGTGACAAGATTATCATCCGAAAGCCGAAACCGAAGCCTCAATCAGTTCTTGCATCAAGTCAGGGAAATGCGTAACGACTGTCTATAACGAAGCTTTATGTCTTTAATTCTCGTGTCATATCGTTATACTGCGTTCAGGCTGGAGCACATGGCGTCTGGTTTTCAATGCTGATAGAAAAGAATAGATGAACGTTAATATATTAGATCAACCATAGCGTACTGATCCAGTAAAGCGCCATTCTGCCCTGTGAATTCTCGCCGATATATGCTCCCTACGCTTCACAGCTTGAAATCTGCATTGGGTCGATCCAAGTTGGTGTGTCCTGTGGCAGGTTCCTTGGCAACAAGGTCTACAAGTCCGGCCTTCAACTGCCCGGACTTGTCTGAACAGAGCTCGTAGACTGTTGACAGGTTAAAGATAAGACCGCCAAAAGATTGTCCTCCATGCACCAATGACTCCAGGATTTGACGGGCCTGTAATTGTTATTAGCCAGTTTCCAATGCACCAGCAAGTAAAGGCCAAGAGTACCTTATTTAACCGCCCTGTGTACAGTAGACATACTGCCATGTTTTGGGATATTATGGCTGTATCGGCCCCTTGGGAACCACCGTCTAAAAGAGCTTGCCATTCTGCTACTGCATCATCGTAGCGGCCCTCAGCCATGCTCAGAAGTGGCTTAGATATGGAAATTCCTGCTTCGTCTGATTCACCGGAAAGTTGCTTCGCTGCATCGATATCGCCAATCAGAAGGAAAAGGAGCGCCTTTCTTAGCTTGTTGGTTTCATCCGACCCTGATGTTTGCAGATTGTGCAGAGACCTTCTGGCAGTACTGAGATCACCCATTTCAATCAATGCATTTACACTTCGAATTCCAAGGTCGGCGAGTCTCTCCTTCCATATACTTCGTTCCGCCGAACTCAGGTCTGGCCGCATGATCTCTCTCCGCGCTTCTAGTCCAATCTCATATAGGCCACCAATGCCCCTGCGTGAATCACCAAACCCAATGCTCTGGAGCCTGACAGCGAGAACACGTAGCGGCCACGGCACAATATGACGAGGGTAATTTGTGTGGCTCTCTTCGTTTTCTACATCGGACGTCGCGGGAGCCTGGTCCACATAATAGAAAGTGGAGCTCAGGTCCTCTAGCGCTTTTGATTCTTGTGCTGCAATGATAGTATTTCCAGATAGTTCCAGACATGCTAATCGTGTGTAGAAAAGCGAGAAAATCATCTTTATATCACTAGACGAAATCAAAGAGGAGGTCAAGATCGTTCCCGAAAGATAGGCTGCAAGCAGGAAGTGCCCTTCAGCCAGCAGCCTCTCAAGAGTGCTGAGGCATGAAGACAGGGACTCTTCGGATGTGAGGCCAATGAACTCAGACCGCAAAGTATGCGGAATGTCAACCTGAGAGAGCGAATGATAAATATCGTATCGGAGAAGGAACGAAAGATCTTTCTCCAAAGTTTGTGGTAAATCATCCGGTGCTAATGGATCTAATTCAGTGAATGAAGCCCCAGTGTAGCCGCCAGCGTCTGCTGTATTCTGGGGCTGAAGTGCAACCTCTGCATTCAGTGGACTGGTTGGGGTCAGCATGATTTTCTGCTGAGTGTCCTGTTATAGCTTACTCATTCGGATCATCTAGTGGGCCTTTGGTAGAGCTACGGGGCCGTGCTGCTGGAAACGTCAGTCGACAATCTTGATGCTGCGTCTATTGATTGTTCTTACATCTGGAAATATTGCGGTTGTGCTTGGGACTAGTAGGATCCATGTTTGCACTGTGTTCAGATCCTAGTAACCAAGATAAAGTGCAGCTAGTACAAGGACCTATTTGATCGACTCGGTCCTGAGAGTGTTGGTTACAGTCCCAACTAATATCTCATTGGGGAGCTTTCATTGCTAGTAGTAGTTATCGATGATAACGGGCAAATCGATACATATGGTGCCTGAATTCTGCCATAGGCGGTGAAGTGATCGGCCTGATCTGGCAAGCTGGCCCATAGTACATGTCTAGTAACTCTCCACTAGCCACAGCTTACACTCCAGCGACCACGAGTTTCTACAACCCTAACACCGGACAATCAACGATCCTTCCAACCTAAAGTGACTTCTACCAGCTTTTAGAGCTATCTGCACACTCTATTCTCGATCTGCATCTTTCATCATGACGTTCGCTGAGGAATTCCGCTCGAGAAACTTCAGTATGGACCTTCCGTGTTTACTTCTTGTCGATCGCAAGGAACGGAAAAGATAGCTAACCACTACTACGTATTTAGGTATCTACGGGCAATGGTTTGTAACCTTTTTTCACCTCTCATTCCGTGCCCTACTGTCCTTCAGTTGACTTCACTCCCTTCGAAACCCGCAAACTGAGGAAACAATGGCTGCCTGGTCCTTCCAACGGATGTGCTTGGCGCCTGTTTGAGCCGCGACAACGGGAGACTGGAAGTGACAACGAATCGTTCCCCTCGGCGTCATTAGCATAATTCGACAAAGATCAGATCAGGCTTGCTACAAAATAAATGCTGACTTGTTTCGGACCAGGACGGGTGTTGTATGCATTGTCCTATGCATCGCCCTCGGCATTGCCAACATTTTTTCGTTTAACGCCGTTCGCATCGTCTTCAGCATCCTATGCCTGTAAGATTCATCATCATAGAACTCAAAAGTGAAAGAAGCTCACATGCGCAGCGTTTCGGGATTCGTCCTCGTTTTCATCGAGGTTCCGTTTCTACTCCGAATTTGCCCTACCTCCGAAAAGTTCGACACCTTTATTCGACGTTTCACCACTAACTGGATGCGAGCTGCCATGTACACAGTCATGAGTGCTTTGCAATGGGTCAGCCTTGTCTCCGGTGCGTCGAGTTTGATCGCTGCAGCCGTTCTCCTCCTTCTCGCCGCTCTCTTCTATGCCCTGGCAGGCTTGAAGAGCCAGGAGTTTGTTGGAAGTAAGACCTTGGGTGGCCAAGGGCTTGCGCAAATGATTGTCTAAGGGAATTCAGCATGGAAGATTGTGGACTATGGCTTGAGGTATGCTTGGCTCCTCATGCCGACAAGCAATGCTTGTGGTGCTGACGACAATGCTTTACAAGTAAATCAAAGCAGGCCGAAGAGAAGAACAATCAAAATGGGAGACGCGAGAGAGTATGAGGGATATGTCTGTGTTGAATGCGCCATGATCACGAATTGATATCGTCCTCGACAACGCTATTAACAGGTATTTTGTACTATTATCATTATGTCGATTTGGTTTGGGTACAAAAGGAAAAGATAAAAAAAAGATTCACCCTCGGGTTTCATGAGATTCAAGTCTCGAGTGAGAGTTTTGGAAGAGGTTGGCCCAATTATCTTCCTCCTGTGGTGATTTGTGCTGGTCGTGTTTTTTTTCTTTTTCTTGTTTTGTTTTGACTTTGTCTCTATCATGTCTGCTAAACAGTCTGCCTTACACCAAGCTTTAGACGAGCCCTGTATCCTTACCAATATACCTAGCGAGAATACCCTTTTAGCATCCTGGTGATGAATGAATTGATTTGAAGGGTGAAAGCTACTTGGCGTGGTTCTACCGCTATACCAAAATGTATCACAGGGAAATTGAACGTGATTGCATCAAAAGAACAAAAAAACTTATACATATATTGTATGAGTCTACAATACCTGCTAACAATGTGTCACTGACAGGCATACAATATGTAGAAGGACAGACTAGTACATCTACATAAGTTCAATAGAACAGGGATCAACCATTGAATGTGGTTCTCTGCTGCATGTGTTTTGTGTTCAACATCCCTGCAAACACTTGGTTTGTGACCTGCCATGTGATCTGGGCTCGTGCAGCGGCAACCCCAAAGAAGCAAATCTATCCCACAATTACTAGGAACTCTGGAGACGGTACTTGCACGTCGTACCGACTGCCTTGGTTTCTCGGATCGCTGATGAGTGTCCTCGGGCCGAATCCCATTATTCGTTGAATCATTAGTTGTTGGTCTATGCATCATGCGTGAATAGTAGTACTAGCAGTAACACTAAGAATTATTGTGGCAGCCTGAACAATACTAGTACTACTACCTACATATCAGAGAGTCTCGAATATGCGCCCCTACGTCATGGCTGTTACCCCTCCTGGAGGGGTCAGACTTCGTTACCCCACGTCAGGGCAGCTCAGGTATCACTGATAGTAGTACTCCGTACTAGAGAGGACATGCATCACTAGTACCACTAGGTAATGCGTAAACAGGCTGCCGTTACAAGTGGGCCGAGTCTGGGTATCCTGGTTCAAATATAGCATCTGGTAGACAATGTTGCCGGTAATAAAGAAAAGGTCATGTGAAAATAGAACCAAAAGCCATACTCATATAGATGGATGCTGACGCGGAGGAGGCTTCCAAGGCTGGTGGTCAGGAAAGGAGGGTAGGAAGATCGGCTTTTGTCTCGCAGTAAAGATATAGATTGTTCGAGGTAGACTGTTGTTACTGTAGAAGCAGATGATTGTTCCTGTTGAGCAGGTTCCCGAAGGATTCCGTCAACAGCTGAAGATCTGATTGGACTTTTCCCATCGAAATACTGCAATCTGATATGGTCGTCTGGCGTATTGCGTGTCCGTGTTGATGCGTCGCTAGGGTCTAGACTTCCTGGGCTATATGGTATTTATCCTGGTAATATTATAGGTTGCGAGGCTGGATTCTATCGACAGATATACCTATGTATCCATATATACATTGTAGGTATTTATACTCAGCTATACAGCCCTCAAGATTGAATACGAATATGGTATATTTGAAGAAAGTCCGGTCTGCCGGTCTACGTTAGAACCGATTAAGCCACAGGAGAATAATTAACGGAAGTGAATACTACAGCTGCTACTAGTACAATCTGGTTGCCGTACAATATACCAGGACACCTCATCAACCACGCCTGAGTGCCGTACTCCTTTGATACTGCTGCACCAAGTCCCACTTGTGGCGGTTATCGTGGCCGAGAAAGCCCCAACAGATTACAGTAGATAAGACGGTAGATATGGTCAGGATGACGAGACCAGGTTAAGGCTGAAAACTGGCAGTTATTGAGTGTGGACCCGCAAGTGCAACGGAGGTATCCCCACAGTGGACCCGGTGAAAAAAAACTAAACTCCTTTCTGAATGTGCAATAGGACTACCAAATGAGGAACGAAACTCAGAATAGTGGATTTGGTTGGGGTCTGAGATTCCGGTATCGATGCTCCTTGGGTTAAGGTACTCTGTACAGAGTCACAGGCAGGGTCATAACTAACAATGATAGTACAGCATGTATGTCCTGCTGCACTTGGGGCTTTTGGTTCTCCCCCAGGTAGGTGAAAACGATTTTACTGGGAATGCTATCAGAAGGTTGATATGATATGATATCGCAGTTGAGCCTAGTTCATGATGTAAATCCTAAATGGCACTGCGGAGTCGAGATCCTCTCACCGCCTCGGTCAGTCAGACTGATACCATCGATATGTACGGAAGCCGTCTCTTTGAGTTTGTAGTCTGGAGTTGACTGTACACACATCCCTACATATATTTCGGGTGATAGCTACTCGTCTCCAATGGCATGCTTTTCTTTTCTTCACTGTGTTTTTCGAATGTCAAAACTCGCGAGTCAGTCTCCTGAGTACATGCCTGTAGGTAGTATTGGGTACTACTAATATAAGTATACATCCTTGTATGGTCCTGTACGTGGAGTCGATCAAGACCTGTAAATAAGACCATGTGCGGATGCTCCGCACAGCCACACGAGGGGCACTGCGACCACTCTCAGCAAGGGGATTTCAATCAAATTGAAGCTACTGCTCCATACAGAGATAAGGTGGACTATTTACCGGGTCTGTATTAATGATCATATCTCAGGGTCGTGGCGGTGGCTATTAATACTTTAGATGTGGATCCATGGTCTGGCCCAAGACAACTGTTGTTGTTCTAAACGCAGAGGGATTTTTTACAATGAATTTAAAAAAAGTAATAACCGGATGCTGATGGAAGAGATCGTTCTTTTCTGGTACCGTCAAAACATGGATCCTCCACATCACCTTTAATATGAGTGATTTTAAACCTTCCACGGGAGTTCCTAATTCATGGATGCACATGTAACTGTAGCCATCGAAAACACTAAATTTTGAAATGATGGTCTATTTAACTTGCTACCTAAATACGTACTTGCATCTAGAAGGTGGAACAATGCATATCAGAGCCAAAAAATGCCTCAACGAAGAAAAAATCTATCGTGGCAGCTGCAGACATGCATCCTTCATCTCCCTTCCCCTCAGGAGCTTCAGCTCTCATTGGCAGATAATCCAGGAATAATCGGACCCATTAGAGGTGTCACTGAATGTTACTTGTTTTATTTGTTCACTGGTAAGACCGTTCTATAGAAGATATACTGAGTACGGCAGATCACGCCTATCTTTATCTAGTGTCGATACTTCGATGGTACCTCGATCTACTCTGTAAATAGGATAAAAG